AGGAGGACCGGCCGTGTTGATCATGGTGATTGTTGGATATGTAGTGTATCAAGTTAAGGTCACAAAAATACGGACAGTTGTGCAATATCCTGTGAAAACGATCGTTAGAGAGTCCTTTACGATAAGGCAAAGCCAGCCACCGGTCTAAATACACCTGGAATGTAACACTGGCTTGTAAAAATGACAGTAAAGCAAAAAAAAAAAAAAAAAAAAAAAAAAAAAAAAAAAAAAACGATGTGATCGACTCACGTTTCAAATAGCACTCAATATAATATCACTGAGTGATGGACCAGTATGACGATGCCGAATGCAATTTGGCTACATGCGTTCTCAGAAATACCACCAAACACGGATGTAGCCATCATAGCTTTGTATGCAGATCCGGCATTCAACTATAAAGATCCCATGCTTCCATTCATGGGTCCAGGTTGGTAATTAATCACACCATTGAAGATGCCCCTCTAAGTGAAGGAAAACAGAAGCCTTGGCTGTCCATTCTGCTGCAAACGTTATCGAATTGTTTGAGCACAAACTTGCAAACGACTTCATTTCCATATTCATGTTTCGTAATGACTATCTCCTTGCCTGTTAGTAGTAGAGGGCAGCTTACATCTAGTAGCATTTCGTGGATGTTTCTTATTACGGTCCAGAACCCATCAATTTCATATTCTCTGGATATTTAAGGAATTTTTGCCAAGTCGAGCAGTAATAATACAGTGCGATAAAACCCAACTCTGGTTGCTATAATTTTTCCTTAATGAAAACGAGACCCTAACTTTTACTCATTTCTTCTTCTTATGCAAAAAATTATAACAAAACAAACTTCTAAATCGAAAATGAAGTTCAAATTGAATCGGAGAAAATTGCTGTTGAACCTCTGCTTTTATATGCATTATAGCTATCACCACTGCCACGTGCTTGACATGAATGAGCTGGAAATCTAATCCTTTGCGTATCTCACCATGTTTTATCTCTGGTGCAAATTTTACGAGCGTGGCGTGCCGTTTTCCGGTGGGGTAACTTTAATTGGCAGTAGTCTATAATATACCACGTATTTCCTTTGGTTGATAGTATACCCTTTTAAAACGTGTTTCAAAAAGCTTAATTGATGTAACATCAAAATAAATTTGAAATTATCTACTAAGTGCCAAATTTACATTTCTAAGAGCCAATGTGATATGGTAAATCGGACTTACAAGGATAAAATGTTATACGTATTAGTTAAATTTTCTTTTGGTGAGTTCAACTTCTGTAAGTCTAATACTAATAAAGTCGGCAAGAAGGGAAAAATTTAAAAAAAGAAACAGTTTGAAATTAGAATTTTGCTTCAAATGTAATGCACTTAAATTGTTTTTTTCCCCCTTTGGTGAACCTGAAAAGAACTTTTAAATGGTTGCTATGGTTATGAAATAGTAATTCATTACTATATTATTTAGTTTTAATTAGGTTAGGTAACCTTACTTCTTCGACAGGTGTTGCACCTTTGCCTTGTCCAACAAGGTAGCCTTCTCTCTGCTCCTAAAAAATAACACGATATGATTTATAATCTGGCAATCATGAATTAAGTTCTCAGTGAAATTGCAATCGAGAACAGGGGTTCATCTTATGATTCTCAGACAGTACCTGTTTACATTCTCAATTTATTAATTCTCTAAATGACAAAATCCTAAATTAAATGCTAAAATCCCCAAATAAAACTCGGAAGACCTACAGCTGCCTTGATGCTTTAAAAATATTGTTACTTCACATTTGAGAATTATAACAATTAATATTTTGAAATATTTAATGTGAAATACGAATACGATATTCTCGGGGACATTCATTCGTGCGTCGGTTATTCGTCAAACCATATGAGATGAGGGAGTTGCATAAGTTATAACATAATACTTTATAACAGAAAAATGTATTTAATAACGAAGAATGATGTGAACGTTACAGTGTCTGAATATTAATTAATAACACATCGCTGCGCAGAGCGCCATCTGTGAGAATGAAATATTTTTACTATTTACAAGAGTGAGCCACGTAGCTGAGACACTTTTTGACACATTTGAAATTAGTGAATTTAACACTTGCCGAAGAATAGTTAATAAATTAAATTAATAACGACTATGGTTGCAAATGGATTGGTTCTTAACTAATTTAACTTTGTATCAATTTTACATTGGTTATTCTTGCAACTGAAACAGATTCCATAAATTGTATAAAAATCGTTTTTATTGCTTAAAAAAGCTGAAAAGTCACTAACGGATATCATTATAAAGAGGTTTATATTTATCACGTAACTGATTTTAGTTTCTTAAATTCACTACATAAACTCCCGCCTTTATATTGTGAGAATCTAATCCTTGGATTAAAATGAATTAAAACAAATATTTATTTCAGTCGTGATTACCTACCTAAAACTATACTTATCAAGATGAGTCCCAAAAACATTCCGTAAGTGTTCATTCTGAAAAAAAAAAGAGAATTGTTATTTAAAAAAAAAAAACACGTTAATATTGATGCCATTTTATTAACAATAAGCTGTTGCTGCTAGATCTTTCAATTCCAAACTTCCCTTAATGTAAATGGATTGTTCCATTTCGTTTGAAGGTATGGAATGCATGGCATGATATTCTCTACACTTTTTTTTTAAAAAAAGGTATTGGGCAGTCGTCAGTTCGGTATTTCTTATACTGCTACTTTTTAAGATACCGAGGCATCGCCTAATTCTATATATAGAACTTTTTTTAAGTTAACCCCTTTGTGGTTAAAGCCCTTTTAAAAGTACAGCTACTTTTTTTCTTCCAATAGCCATTTTGAAGTAAGTAAATGTATGTATACAACCAATTTTTGTGGTCGGGCATTATTGGGTTAAGAAATAATGCTCGGTATACACTCACGCCGTATTCCATACACAGATATTTTTCATTTATTTATTAATTAATTTTTTTTTTTAAGATTTAGGGCAATTGCATTATATTTCATACACTGAAATTTTTTCTATTCCAAATTATATGAAATTCGTATGTGATTCCGAAGAAAAGGAACAAGATTAAAAAAAATTATTGACTATAATTGATGAAAAGAAGCTACGCAAAATGTCACAAATTCGCAGTGCCAGAATGCTTTTATATTGAATGCTTTGCCAGAATGCTTTGTTATTAGAATTATTTGATTTATTTTCGATTTTCAAATTCTGAAATCAAAAATAAATAAATCCACTATATATTTTGCATACTATATATTCTATATGTCTGCATTTTCCCTGAATCAGGTAGCTATTTTAGGAAAAATACAAGCATGCAATCCCTACCCTTCCCTATCAGCGAAAAATACTGAACAATCCTCTGCCTTCGGTAGAAAACTATGGAAATTGCTTGTTTTATAATGATATGAACTTAATTCAGCACTGCTGCAAAGGTGTTAAGTTTTCGAAAAAAATGGAGAGAAAAAAACTAAAATTTACTTAGATTATTTTAGATTTAAAATATTATTGATCAAAGCTTACGATTGCGAAAAAGGTATTCTGTGTAACTTATGATTATTATTTTAGAAGTTCGATTCCGATTTCTCTTCAAATTAATAAATTTTATTCCCTTCAAGGCATTATTCATCTTCAGAATTTATTTTTTCCTTTATTTATATACCGCATCTTTTACGTAGGTCCGATTCGAAATTATGGGGAAATATTTTTTTTTTTCGATTTGTTCTATTGCAGAGTAAAAATAATTACAGTTTAAACCTGCTTTAATAAATCCGGATATATATAATGAACACTGGTTTGTAATTAACGTAGTTTGTGGTCTTGTCTGAACTGTTATATAGAAAACATCTAAAAATTGATAATTCGTTAATAGAGGATTTAAATTTCTTCTTTGCCGGTATTTAAATTTTTAAGTAATATGATAAATTCGAAAGTGTACATTTAAAAATTTTATACAATGAACTATCCGGATATATAATGAACACTGGTTTGTAATTAACGTAGTTTGTGGTCCCTTCTGAACAGTCATTTAGAAAACAACTAAAAATTGAAAATTCGTTAATAGAGGATTTAAATTTCTTTTTTTGCCGGTATTTAAATGAATCAAATAAAATTTTTAATCAATATGATAAATTCAAAAGTATACATTTAAAAATGTTGATTTAAAATGAAGATACATTTGAAAATATTAATTTAAAAAGAAGATACATTTGAAAATATTAATTTAAAATGAAGATACTTTAAAAAGAATTGTTTAAAACTATTTATTCCGCTGAAATGAATAAAACGAGTGGTTTCAAAAGCATGCACTAGCGAATTGGTTGTATAAAACTTTTGAATGCAACTTTCTTCGAAAATGATGCAAATTAAAAAGATAAACATCTAAAAAATTCCAATAAAAGCTTTTAAAAACTCATTATAAAGAGACAACCATTTAATTATAAGGAGAATATTTTGAATGTCACTTAATGTTCTGATATTAAATTTCGTTATAGGAAGAAATTCTATGTCAGGTAAAGTTGTTGTAGAAAGAAACTACGTGTTTCGTTAGCTAAACATTTATGAAGCAAATTACATATTGTAATCACTTTTTCTAACAATACTACTTCAATACGCTAAAAAATATTTTTCCGAATATTTTAGATATATTGAACCATCATTTATAGAGGACTTATTGTTAAGTCCACAGACGGTTCACTATAACAATGTCCGATTGTACTTTTAACACAATTATAAAATTGATTAATCAAAAACAATTAAAAATCTTTTTTTTTTAATCAATACAAATTGGTAAATGAAATATCTCTTACCTGTGCTATTTCACGATTTCTGAGTAAGATTAGGATGATTAAATTTCCTCCTTTTTTTCTCTCAAAAAATGTCACAATGATAAATTCTCATCCTTTTTATGCACTTCCGACAGGATAAAAAATCATCCGGTTTACTTCCTTCCAACATATAATACTCACATCCAGTCATTAGAGAATCAATTATAGTAATTTCAGTTATAAGGTAAGTGTCTGTTACTTTTATACATTGTTAGAGCAAATTTAATCCTCAATCTATTCAAATCTCCAATATTTATTTATGCTATTAATATCGCTGTAAGGTGGGAGTACGGGGGCTTTGATAAAGATCGTAAAGTAATTATTGATACTTTTGTTACTTATTTATACAAATTATCACTGATACCTGTGTTACTTATTGATACCAATTATCATTTATACTTATTGATATACCAAATATTACTGATATCTTTGAACAAAGCAGAGTTGAAAATTTATATTTGTAGTAAGGAATTACAAATATAAGTAGGGAATACTTCAATATTTATTTATCCTATAAATGTCTCTGCAAGGAGTGGGCATGAAGTTTCGATAAAGGTGATAAAGTAATTATTATTGACATCTGATATTTATTGATACCAAATATTATTAATACCTTTACTTATTCATACCAATCATAATTGATACGTATTGATATACCAAATATTATTGATATCTTTGAACAAAGCAGAGTTGAAAATTTATATTTGTAGTAAGGAATTACAAATATAAGTAGGGAATACTTCAATATTTATTTATCCTATAAATGTCTCTGCAAGGAGTGAGCATGAAGTTTCGATAAAGATGATAAAGTAAGTATTATTGATGTCTGATATTTATTGATACCAATTATTATCGAAACCTTTACTTATTCATACCAGTCATAATTGATACGTTTTGATATACCAAATATTATTGATATCTTTGAACAACACAGAGTTGAAAATTTATATTTGTAGCAAGGAATTACAAATATAAGTAGGGAATACTGCAATATTTATTTATCCTATAAATGTCTCTGCAAGGAGTGAGCATGAAGTTTCGATAAAGATGATAGAGTAATTATTATTGATATCTGATATTTATTGATACCTTTACTTATACATACCAATCATAATTGATACGTATTGATATACCATATATTATTGATACCTTTGAACAAAGCAGTCCTGAAAGTTTATACTTACAGTATGAAATCCGGCGTTATGCAAATCTCACCGGCATTTCGCTATGCGCCAAGTTACATGGAGAAGTAATCGTTAGTAATGTAGTACAGTTTCTTAAATGAGAAATGGGAGAGTTTATTTATTGTCTATCAATTTGTTTGTATTTTTTGTTAGTATTGTCTAAAAAATTCCATTATTGGGAGGCTATGGAACTTTGTATCTAGATTTACTACTCACCTTTTTCTCTAATGTTTTTTTTTTTCAATTGTTCACTTTTATTTGTTTGTTCTTTGCTTATAGCCGTTTCTTTAGTTCGGTTTGAGTTTCGCCAGAACAGAACAGTTCACTTTTAAAATCACCTGATTGATTTGAAATAAAATTAAAAGGTTTTTTTATGTGTTGTAAAAAGCTACTAATTTTTTTTTTCTTTTTCATTTTAAAGAACAGGGATGCCAATCGATCCATTTTCTGCAAAAGTTTTAATGAATTGGTAGCGAATTAAAGAGCAAAACTTGTGGAATAAGGAAAAAATACGTTTACTATTTAAAAATGTCACCATGAGATAACTGCCATAAAGATGCATTTCATATGTTACTTTGAATTTCTGATGTGTACTGGTGGAAAAAATACTTAATAAAAATTACTTAACCAAAAAGTAACTTAAATTTCGTTTACCACTAGAAAATATTTTTTTTACAAAGCGGAGCAAGTTGGCCTCCCTGAACGTAATGCATACTTTAATAATTATATTTTCAATTTAATAAATGATAAGTTTAACCACCACGAAAGTAAGTAAAACAAAATTATAAAAGAAAAATTGACTATTTTGTTACAGCAATACCTAAATTAACCCCTTAAAGATCGGTTAATTTTCAAGAAAATGGTCATAAAAGTGCCTATTTTTTTATCACATATCACAAATACACGTATTTGTTTAGTGCTGACATCTAGTTTAAAATAAATTAACTATCTACAATTACCTTAAAAACCTTACCTTGGTACTGCCATCTGGTGTGCAAAATGAGAAATAAAATGTTTTCCGGGCAAAAGAAATGAATTAGTTTTATTCTTAATTACGCGTTACGACTGAACACTCCAGCCCGGAAATATCACGGGAGCGAGAAATAGAGGGCACAACCTCACCTCATCATTTTCACGGGTGCGAGAAAGAAGGGGTTAAAAGAAAAAGTTCATCGCATTTATTGCTCTTTCGCAAGGTGGCCACAGTCTGGGAGAATTTAAAAAGTAGTTCAAAAAAGATACTTTAACTAATTCCTACCTAACAAAATATTTTATAAACTAAAAGACATGTTACAATTGACTAACTTGATTCCTAAATATACAGTAAAATCAAAAAACATAAAAATTTTCAATATTTCCACGAAACATTTGACATAACTTTTTAAGGTTCCCAGACCGTGGTCCTCGGCCCTCCTGCTTTCTCTACCACTTTAAATACTATTAAAAAACGTTTCCATTAAATCGGAACACTGAGCAAGTATGTCTATGCTTACGTTTTTTAATTACAATTAGATTTCAACTAATATGTAGACAAGTTATAACTGTGCGTTTACTTTCAGTATAAGTATTTCCTCAACTCGGAAACAAATTTTTGAAGAATATGTCTGGAGTCCGGAATTTGTTGACGAAAATATGCCGTTAAAGATAGTGAAAAATATCCTTAAAAGATGCCCAAAAATGTTCTTAAAATTTGAAAAAAAAAAACATTTCTGTAATTAAATAAAAGCTTAAATCTGAAACATTATATATCCCGCAGTGGACTGATTGTGAAAACACGGTTCCCAGTAGAATACCGAAGTTAAGCATCACTGGCTGCAGTCAGTAAGCGTGTGGGTGACCGCTTTGATCAGCCTGTGTAGGGACCGAGAGTGCGCGGTATTAGTCTTCGTTAAACTGTTTAACCATGCTCGACTTCGAGAGCAGGTCGTCGGGATACTATAGCGGAGGAGCCTTTCCCTCTGCAAAGGATCAAAATTGTGATGACATGTCTTCGAATCATTCTCAGGGATTTTTCCCAGACCGTCGCCAATAGCCCATTGTGCAGCTCTAGTGAGAGTAAATAAAGTACCTACCTACCTGAAGCATCATATCTTCCTTAAAATTTTATATTGCATATAATTGTATGTATGCGTGTATATATAAAGAGAAATCGGGTTGTAATATTTTATTAAAGTTTAAAATTAATGTTAAATAATAACAAAAGACTAAGAAAAAAATTGGTGTTTCCGGAGTAATCTTGAATTCCAATGCTCTTGTTTCTTATTTTAACCACCCATAATGTCTCCATAAATTATTTTTGTTTTTATCATTCGCTCAGTTTTATTCTGAGCAATGGTTATCCTTTTCCCTGAAAATTGTAGTAAATAAAATAGAATAACTCCGTTGAAATTTGAGAAAATTGTAAAAATTACCTCTGGTATTTTCAAAGATTTCAAAAATATGCCCTAAAAATAAAAACAAAGAACCAGAAAATCTCCAAAAATTCCCCAAAATGAAAATAAATGTTCTGAAATCTCAACAAACGTTCTAAAAATACAAAACAAAACAAAAAAAAGTGCCCCCAAAGAGCAGAAGAATCCAAAAATGGAAAATGTAAAAAATGCATATGTCTTCAAATTCGAATAGTTATGACACTTAAATTTCGAATGATTATTTAAGGTGTTTAAACTTTTAGAACTCTATATTATTATTATTGCTACCATTATTACTATCATTATTATTACTTTTAAATAGCCACGACAAATTTGGAAAAGATTTTTAAAAAAAATTTGCATCTCAAAAAGTTTGCTTTTAATTATGTTGCTCACATGAGGCCTACAAGAAAGTTCTACCTGCTACAATACGCTCCTCATTTTGTAAGTAATGCGAGTGGTTCTTTTAAAAGAAAGTGGTAGGGTGTATTTACTTTTTAACTGAATGGCAATGCACCATCATAAAGAGACGCATTATATATGGCACAAAACAGCATGTGCACAGCATATTCAAATTTATAGCAAAAGTATCCGACCTAACTAACAATAAGCGGTCCATCTTATGAAAACATTTATTGGCACATGCCCTGCCGCTTTTTGATTTATAAAGACATTATTTGCATCTGTGTAAGGCTTATTCTTTCGCCGGCAGAATTTTCCGGTTGATTTCAGATCAGACAGAATTTCCCCAATGTCAAGTATAATTTAAAATCATAAAGCCGTCATCCTCTATATTAATATCAAAATTAAACTCATTTGCACAGTTATTTGAATATCTACTATTCAAATATTGTCATGATTCAAAAACATAAATAAAATATTACAACGTCACTAAAATATAAGCTGCGCTTTGCATTTTATTTAGACAACAGAAATATTTGTCTTTTATTTAAATCATTCATTTGAAACAACTGAATAGCCGTGTGTTACTTAATATTTCTTTTGAAAAAGAAATATTTATCATGTGTGAAGGAAGAAAAATGCCCTTTTGAAAATGCGAAATTGCATAATATAGTTAACATAATTAAATGCCAAGTTGCATAATATTGAAAAAGTTTTCATGCGTGGTTTCTTGTTTGATTTTTTATTGACTCACATAAATTTCTCAAATAATGTTTGACTACCGCAACACAGGTTTCTTTACAAGTTAGATTCTTATTGAGAAATAAATCATAACAAAAGGATGAGTGCAAAAAAAAGAAAAATCATGACTGATACTCGATTTAAATTTAAAATAAATAATAAATTTTACACGATTTCTTCGGTTTTGTCATTTTTTTTTGCATGATATATACATAAACTTTGTTTCCTGAAAACAACAATGAAAACATAATTACGTTGTTTCCAAACTTTTTTTGATATGAAATGCGTCAAACTTAATTAATTTTAGGCAAAAATTCTAAAAGGAAGAAAAGAAAGTACAACCAGAATAAAAAGACCAATTGTAAAACAGAATAGAATAGAATAGGGTAACTTTATTAATGAACACGAGTTTATTTTTCTTTCAAAATATAAATCGCTGAAATTACTAGTTTTTATCTTTTAGGAAAAAAAGGGGAAGGCATCTTCCCCAAAATTGGAGACTTAATACGTAATACAAGGTTGTCATGATCTGGAAAAGTTTTTAGAGTGGTAATAAAAGTGAGATAGATTTAGATAA